GCTCAACTACAGACAACCAGTCAGTGCCTCACCTCTGTCTAAACCAGATCCATATTGAAGAGACAAAAGCAGAAGGGAAGACAGTGGTTGGTTGGACGCAGATAGCTGACTGCTTAGTAATTCAGTCGTACAAGGGGGTGGGGTATTAAAACTGTAGCAGGCCCATTGACTAGCAGTCCCATATACATTCTTTGACTTTGGGTCTTTAAATGTACACTGCTCAAATACATTAAAGGAACATTTTGAAAACACATCAGATCTTAATGGGGAAAATATCATGTTGGATATCTATACTGATATGGACTGGGTAATGTGTTAGAAACGTAAGGATGCCCAATTGTTTGATAGAAATTAAAATTATCAACCTACAATTTAAAGGAATTTAAAGACAACTTGAAAATCAAATAGAAAAAATGATGCGGCAGGCTAGTCCATTTTGCTGAAATTTCATTGCAGCAACTCAAAATGGTACTCAGTAGTTTGTATGGCCCCCACGTGCTTGTATGCATGCCTGACAACATCGTTGCATGCTCCTAATGAGATGACGCATGGTGTCCTGGGGGATTTCCTCCCAGATCTGGACCAGGGCATCACTGAGCTCCGGGACAGTCTGAGGTGCAACCTGGCGGCGTCGGATGGACCGAAACATGATATGCCAGAGGTGTTTTATTAGATTTAGGTCAGGCCAGCATGGGGGCCATTCAATGGTATCAATTCCTTCATCCTCCAGGAACTGCCTGCATACTCTCACCACATGAGGCCAGGCATTGTCATGCACCAGGAGGAACCCAGGACCCACTGCACCAGTGTAGGGTCTGACAATGGGTCCAAGGATTTCATCCTGATACCTAATGGCAGTCAGGGTGCCATTGTGTAGCCTGTAGAGGTCTGTGCGTCCCTCCATGGATATGCCTGCCCAGACCATCACTCACCCACCACCAAAACGGTCATGCTGAGTGATGTTGCAGGCAGCATAACATTCTCCACGGCTTCTCCAGACCCTTTCACGTCTATCTCATGTGCTCGGGGTGAACCTACTCTCATCTATGAAAAGCACAGAGCACCAGTGGTGGACCTGCCAGTTCAGATGTTCAATGGCAAATGCCAATCGAGCTCTATGGTGCTGGGCAGTGAGCACAGGGCCCACTAGAGGACGTCGGGTCCTCAGGCCACCCTCATGAAGTCTGTTTCTGATTGTTTGGTCAGAGACATTCACACCAGTGGCCTGCCTGAGGTCATTTTGTAGGGCTCTGGCAGTGCTCATCCTGTTCCTCCTTGCACAAAGGAGCAGATACTGGTCCTGCTGATGGGTTAAAGACCTTATACGGCTCTGTCTATCCCTCCTAGAGTAATTACTTGTATCCTGGAATCTCCTCCATGCTCTTGAGACATTGGTAATAGCACGTATTGATGTGCCATCCTGGAGGAGTTGGACTGCCTGTGCAACCTCTGTAGGGTCCAGGTATCGCCTCATGCTATCAATAATAACACTGACCTTAGCCAAATGCAAAACTAGTAAAAAACAGTCAGAAAAGAAGAGTAGGGAAACAATGTCAGTGGCCACCACCTGTAAAACCATTCCTGTTTTAGGGGTTGTCTCCTTGTTGACCATCTAGTGCACCTGTTGTTAATTTCAATAACACCAAATCAGCTGAAACTGATTAACAACCCCCTCTGCTACTTAACTGACCAGATCAATATCCCAGGAGTTTAATTGACTTGATGCTATACTCTGATTAAAAAGTGTTCCTTTAATTTTTTTGAGCAGTGTATTTTCCATGATGGCTTTCTAAGGCTGCATTGGTGTAATGCTGAAGAAGGGCATGCAAGTTCAGAACAAGCTTCTTGGCTGCCTTATGTAGATGAACAACCTGTAATCTCAGCAGAGCTTCTTCTTTGCCACATTAAACAATGCACAATCTATTTTTGGAACTGTTCATGCAGTAAAACTGGGTCATTGTCTTTACATCAGACAGTAATAAATGCATTAATTTTATAGAAAACAGTAGGGGGTTTATTGATTAGATATCATTCTTTAGCAATGTATTTGAAGTGTAGGACTATAATGAATGCTAAGCAGGAATTCTCATTTTCAATGCTATTAAACAGTATGGAATATTAAATATTTACAATATAAAATTATATAAGAGACAAATATATAAGAGATTGTTGCACATCATAATGTATGTGAATGCACATCCCTGATAACTTGGGTTGGGATTAAAAGGAACCCCTCAAAATAGAATACGGTAAATGCACTGGAAACTTGCGTGAATTTAAATTCTATGGGAATGTCATCCTGACCCTTTTTTGGGTTAACAGAATTGCCCTGAAAGTATCACAACATATGATATGATTAAAGCCCAATTCAATTTTCATTTTAAATAGGCCAAGTACATTCCAGGTACATAAAAGCAAAAGGTATACAAAGGACTATAGTTAACCACTTCCAGTCTGGACACTTCTACCCCCTTCCTGTCCAGGCCAATTTTCATCTTTCAGTGCTTTCACAATTTGAATGACAATTGCGTGGTCATGCAACACTGTACCCATATGAATTTTTTTGCATTTTTTTTTAGACAAATAACGCTTTATTTTGGTGGTATTTATTCATCACTGGGATTTTTATTTTTTTTGCTATGTAAATGAAAATGTCCAAAAAGTTTGAAAAAAAGTGTTTTTCTTATAAAATTTAGCAAATAAATAGTATTTCATCATAAATCTGTGCCAAAATTTATTCCGTTATCTTTTTAGTAAAAAAAAAATAACCCAAATTAGTTTATAACCAAAAATTATAATTTTTTAACATTTTATTTACTTTTTTTTTTATATTATTATTTATGTTTTTTTTTTTTTTTACATTCTTGTCACCCTAGCAGTACAGAGTCACCATGGTGGGGGGTGATGAAGATTTTTTTTTTTTTACACTGATTGCTTTTACACCCATAAAGGCTGTAAAGGCAACCATTTCTCCTTCTCTCTAGCTGCATTCCTGCAGCCATTGAGAACAACTGACTGAGCTGTGATTGGTCACAGCTTTTCACATGGTACAAGGCTGTTGTGAATAACCTTGTACCATGTGACCTCGGTGATCATTCACAGATTTCACACGTAGTAAGCAATGATGTCACAAGTGACATCTTGCTTACTACTCTGCATGTGATCACTGATTGGCCAATCAGTGATCACATGATCGGGACCTCGCATGGAGGTCCCGTCCAACGATCAGTGTTCCACTGTGTCCGGAGGACACAGCGGGAACCGGATCGAGGTGCTGCGCGCTTCCAGGGAGCGCACACAAGCAGGGTGCGGGGAGGCCGTTTATAAACGGGCACCCGACCCTGCACTGCCACCGTCCAGCCGTTTATATACAATGGCCAGACGGGAGGTGGTTAATTTGTTTAGAAAGCATCCATGGCCTGAGTAGGAAAGCCTGTCCCCTTCCTGCATGCTGCAGAGAAGGATCCTTGCTCTTTGTGTGGAAGCAGTGGTCTCTCTGCGGAGGTCCTACACACCCTTGTTAAGTCAGGACTAGAGGTAAAGCTTGTGCTTCCTGCTGACTGGTGAGCTCTATCTAACTCTGACACAGCAAGGGTGTGTGTAGGACCTCTGCAGAGAGACCTATAGTCCTTTGTGAGTCACTCAGAACAATCAGTGAGTATTAGGTGTGCTGCTATCACATACCTAGTAGAAGAGCCTGATATGCTGAGGAAGGCCTCTCTTACACCTCGGGGCCCCTGATAGTGTGAACAGAAAGCAGAGCAGTACAGAGTTGGCACTCATACTCTGTACTGCTCTGCCTTCTGTTCACAATATCAACTCCAATGCTCTGCCTGGAGTTCACACCGACTCTGCTGCTAGCAAGGCCTGTAGGCCTGTAGGCCTTGCTAGCAGCAGAGTCGGTGTGAACTCCAGGCAGGAGTAGTCGTCAGTAGTCTTCAGTAAAGCAGGCAGGCTGGTTTGCAGCTGACTGAAGCAGACTGATACTGGCAACAGCAGGCAAGCGAGGCATATGGTGGTAGCAGACAGTAGATAAACAGGCACAGCTGGATGGTATGTAGGTACTGGAAACAGCAGGAGAAGTAGCGGAGACAGACAAGCCAGGTCATACACTGGCAGACAGTTCAGGTACAGGTAGGCAAGAGTGTGGTCAAGTGCAAGCCAGGTCAGGAGCCAATTTGTGGAACAGTAGCAAAAGGAGCAGGCAGAAATGGTGGTCAGAAGACAAGCTGAGGTCAGTACAGGCAGAGTTCAATGGGTAGTGAGGACAAGCTGGGTCAGCAACTGGAATCAGGATAAAGAATCACAAGGTCTCATGCTGTAGACAAAAGAGCACTGGCTCGGTTTAAATAGCCCATTTGGCACCATCGCCTGTCACTAGTGCGCATGAGCTCACCAATGTGCACAGGTATGCGTACTCTGTGTGCATGCGCACATGCATGAGCATGTGCACACCTCCTACGTGCATGAGAAGGGATGTGGATTAACCTGTAATGATTTACAGAAGTCCACCCAGGGGAGCCATCTTGTCTACTGGCATTCTCTTCCTGACAGCTTCCCCTAGCAAAGGACTAAATGAAATGTTCCAAAAAAAATTTTAGACGTAGGTGGAAGGTTCTTAATGTGGGGACCAAGTACATCATACAAAGCAAGGTGTAATTTGTAGTCCCTAGGCAGCTCTCATGTGCTTAAAAACCTTACGGGGGAGAAGTTCTGGTGAAGTCTAATACGTAAAGCCACTGAAGACTTTACTGCTATGGGTGCCATAATCATGGGGCTAAAAATCAACAAAACATTGGAATAATATTATTTTCTAAACTAATTATTTAGGAACTTATTATAAATACATATATATACAACACTACATATTACTTTGGCAAATGTGGACCATTATTCATTAACAAGGGCTATGTTTGTGGGTAGCTTTGCGTGGTCATTATTTTGTAAGATTCCTTTTGTTTCTTATGCATGAGACTAATTCAGTTTTTATGCTTTTTAAGACATAATTCGATCAGAAGACAATTGAACCTTTCAAACCCCGACTTCAACATCCAGCAGTTTCAAAAGCAGGAGCAGTTGACTGGAATAGGACGAATCAAGCCTGAACTGTATAAACAACGGTCTGTAGAGACAGACGATGGTCGAAGGAACAATACCAAATCTTGTGGGAAGCTTAACTTCATCATAAAATATGATTGTGACTTGGAAAAACTTATAGTAAAGATTCACAAGGCAGTTGGCCTACCAGCCAAAGACTTCTCTGGGACATCAGACCCTTATGTCAAGATTTATTTACTTCCGGATCGGAAGACTAAACACCAGACTAAGGTCCACCGGAAGACTCTGAATCCCGTGTTTGATGAAGTTTTTTTATTTCCTGTTCCCTATAATGAGTTGCCCAGTAGGAAACTCCACTTCTCTGTCTATGATTTTGACCGCTTTTCAAGACATGATGTCATTGGCCAGGTCATAGTGGATAATTTTTTAGACTTGGCGGATTTTCCTAGGGAAAGTAACATCTGGAGGGACATTGAACACGTCACTAATGTAAGTACTGTGGTCCCTAAATGTCTAAATATTATTAATGATGGTCTTAGAATGAAAATCAGTTTTTACGAATGTTTTTTATAATGTCTTTTTTGTTCAATTTAGCAATTTATTGGATTTAGTGATTAAGATAGTGTAAAGGACAGTAATTTGTTGCAACCACTCAGAATTCAGTTTACTGTTTTCAGCTTAAAAATGTTATTGAGTTACTATCTTTTAACACAGATCAGTCTTAAAGTGGTATTAAACCCAAAAGCAAAAATTTATTGCATTGTACCCTATCAATTCCTAAATGTGGAGGCTGAACTTGTTTTCCTTTTTAGGCTTTTTTCCTTTACTTTCAGCTGGTGTCAAGCTAGTAACACACTTCCTGTCTTAGGGTGTCCCCACTCTGGATTGGAGAGCAACAGAGACACCTTTAGACACCAGCATTAACCTGGATAGAGGGTAGTGTTGGATGCACTCGCGGATTTAAACGGTCTTAACAATCGAATTAAAGCCAAGCTCCAGCTAACACTTTTAGGCAGTTACAGCAATGTTTTTGCCTTTTGAGATAAATGTTTTATATATCAATGCTATAAATTTAGAACACATGGACTTTGTAGGCACCAAAACATTCATTAAAAAGGTATTTTTAATGAATGGTTTGGTGCCTAAAAAGTCCATGTGCTCTAAATTTATAGCATTGATATTGCTTGGGACGTAGCACTTGCTTTCTAGTCTCATGCACTCACAGTAGCCACCCCGTGTTTGAGCATTGCTGTGGAAAGGTTTTTTTTTTTCTTCATAAGTGTTACTTTCTTGAGTCTGTTTCTTACAGACGGGAACTTTCCATCTTCACTAGTGTCACGGATCATCTTTCTTCTGACCAGAATGTAATGGGATGATTCATGTCTGAATATTGAAAGTTACTGACAAATTGTTTTGCCCTTATCTAAACTGTAATTAGGCAATTATTTAGCTAGAAGTGCGTGTATGTGCAGAAGGACCACCTCTAAAAGTAAATGCTTTTTTGTTCCGTGTACCTGACCTTCCATACTGAGGGAGGGATGGTTCTGAAAAGATATTATTTTCAACTCAGCCTTTTATTCTTTATTATACATATACAGCAAAGTATGCATGACTTTTCAGAGTTTGTCACTTTTAAATACTTTTTAAATCCCTGAGTCTGATGAAAGTTATGAAAAAAGTCTAATAACAATTTTCCATATAGAGCTTACCTACAAAGGGACTGCTGAGAATATTGTTAAATTAAATATTGTGCTTTGTATAATAATATAAACTTCACTTGTCGAACATATTCACTATAAAGTCACTCATACCTATGAAAAGCTATGAAATCAGTGAAAAATAAATAAATAAAATAAATAGTGACATTTAATATAAAAATTCACTTAAACATATTCACTGTGAAATCACATATACCCATGAAAAGTGATCAAATCAGCAAAAAACAAACAAATAAAAATCATACTTACAAGCTGTAGAGTGCTGCATGTTTTTTTCTATGATACTATTTGTCATCGTTTTGGAGTTCATATTTTGATCCAAGAGGCTTGGGATATTACTGATTCAGGCATGGCATGGAGAACTGGATGATATCCTGTATTGCAATGCTGATTGCTGGTACTGCTGTAGCTGTGTCCAGAAAAGAGGAGTAGAGGGCAAATGACTAGTCCTAGTATTGTGTGTAGGTTCCCTGCAGTTGATCTTTTGGTGACATGCTTTGTTTCATACTGTGTCTCTGTATAGAAGTGTCCATCTTGGTAGAGTTGCAGGACTTGGCTTCCTTGTGTCTTTGATGATTGGTGGAGTAATGAGCAAGACGTGGGAAACATAGATCCACCGAAAGAATTAAGCAGAAGCAGAGAGATATTTGCACTGCAGGTCCTTATGTACAGTTTCCTCTCCAGCAAGGAGAACAGTGAGCAGTACAGTAGGGACATCACCAAATCTCACTCCAAGTGCTCTGAGACCAGCAAGAACAGGCATCAGTGCCTTAAATAGTTTCACACTGCAGATATACTGTATACAGCCATGAGGCTATAGAAAAGGGGTGCCTAAGCACAGCCATATATTAGGAAGTGCACTGATAATTTTCAGGGGAAATTTAAGGCAAAAGGTAGCTTTTTTTAGGGTACTGCTCAAGAATAATTAATCCTACTATATAGGTTCTATAAGATAGCAAATCTTTACTTTTCAAACTATAGATCCTCTTTAAAGACACCTTGTTACCAACTTAAAAAATGGAGAGCACAGAAAAATAAAGCATTTTAAATGCTTACTTGCAGTATTTTTTCTTTTCATAAATGTCTTTTAGTTAATTTGCTATGTGCCTTTGAACTTGCCAGAATATTTGACAGAATTGACAAGTGTCAATTCTTTAGTACAGCTCGTATGTCATCTTCTTGCATGTCATAGCCTTCTCTTCTTCTGACACTGTCTAATTACTGACTGTGCTGACCCAGCATCTTCATTCTTCCTTTCTGCTACCTACCCTTCATAACATTGCCAGGGAGGAATCTAGGAGAATATTATAGAGTGCCACTTGAGTGACAGCCCTGAGTCTGCTGGAGCAATCTACAACAGGAAGATGAAATCTCTATAAACTGAGGGAAAGTGCCTTCTTGACATCACTTTGTGTCTCGGTGACAATATAATCACCAACACTATAGAGTGCCGTTTGAGTGACAGCTCTGAGTCTGGCGGGACTGTTGATATCACATTCAAGATGGTGGCACCCAGAAGTTGTCTCAAGACTTTTGGATCTGTACACAAAGGAAGACTTTACAGATAAATAACATGCCTCTATACTAAGTTTTAAAAAATAATAACATACCTCAATAAATTAAATGCACATACTGTATAATTGGAGGATTAATGCAACAGGCTCTCTGTAAGTATAAAACCTAAATAAATGCTGTAGGGAGTTACCTTTACTGCAATAGGTTTTCAAAACTGTGCAGCAACAGAGCTTTGGAATCATCAGAAAAGCTTTGTAAAAATGGTGTTGGGTGGTAGCCAAAATCTGAAATCCTCCAAGAATTGTTAATGATAAATTAGGTCACTGCTAACCCTACCTTCCTCCTGAACTCCTCCAACTCTCTCTTGAACCACACAAATATTCGAGTCAACTCACCTCCACCTTTCATAAAGTCCAGGATTGGTGTACCAATTAAAGTATCACATAGCTCCGATGAGTGTATAAAAAAATGAAAATGATGCTATTTAGAATATTCAAAAAACCTTCATGCTCACATCTCATTACCTTTTGTGAAGGTTATAATTGTGCCAGGACCTCGGAACAGAGAAGATCCTTGCCTTAAGCTACTTTCCTAAACATGCAGGGGTGATGTCTCAGCAGAGCTACGTATTAAGCCACATAGCAATACTAAACCTCAATTTAGTTATGGATATCATTCCGTTTCTCAGTTATTTATTGGATTCTTCTCTGCTGGGGGAAATAAATGAATATGGAAGCCTTGCTGTGTTAAAAGGAGTGAAATCCTCTGTACGCACACTGGCATTGAGGACGTGAAAGGCAGCTGCGTTTGATTGATTAAATAGATTCCTTTTCTAGATTGACGTAGCTATACATTATTGAGCATGCAGTATTTATTACCAGTATTCTGTGCTGGATATATGGACAGTGATAGACATCTCTGGAATTGTACAAGCTTCTGAGATAAATCTGGGTCACTCCACCTCTTGTCTAAAAACCCAGTAAGCTCTTAATAGTGTTTGTGCTATCACAGAGGAGTATACAAATGAAAAGCATTGATGGATTTTCCTGTGCTGCTTAGTCTGTCTCCACGCACTCAGCCAATGATGCGTCTGTGCTTTCATTTAGAAAGCTTTATATTCACAATGCTGCTGTAAAATCTGATGCTGACGTATATCATTTTATGTAAGGAGAATATACTGTATGTATGAAAACAACAACTGGATTTCCGTTCAATAAGGAAGGTTGATGAACTTTCCATGGAATTGAAGTGTCACTAAACTTACATCATAAAAATCAATCAATCAATGCTGTATTACATGCTGTTCATACTCATTCTGTCACTATGAGATTTGTTTTCTGTATTCTGCAAAAACCCTGTTTTTTTTTTTTTTTTTTATTTAAATATTTATTAAATTTTTCATATTAATACAAAAACCCATAAAGGGAAATAATTCTCATACAAGTAGACAATTATAACATTTCTACCTTTCCCTTACTAAAAACTCGTTTCCTTCCCGTCCCACTACCCCCCCTTCCCGCCCCTCCTCCCCATCTGCAGACTCTAGGCCTTTCTAATCTCTTGAGGCTTATTAATTTTTTGCTAACATCTTAGTTCATATTTTCCTATATTTCTCTTTCAATCCTGCTCTTTCCCACTTTTCCCATCTCCTGGAATAAACTCTCATCCTATCTTCTTGCATATGGTATGATCTTTCCATTCTACCTATCTGGTTTACTCTATTAATCCAGTCTACCGCCATGATCCGAGAACGTCCTTGTCTCTATGTCAATTTTAACCAGATGATCTATAAGTTGATGGTCTATTAAGATGTAATCTAATCTCGAGTATATCTCATGTGCATTAGAGAAGAAGGTATAGTCTCTGTCTTTCATATGCTTTATTCTCCACGTGTCCACTAGTTGATATTCATGCATCACTTTTTTTCAGAGCTCTCAGAGACCTACTCCCCTCTCTTTGCACAGAAGAGGTATTATCCTTTTGTGGGTCCATACAGAAATTTAGGTCTCCAGCTACTATCAGACGCACCCCTTTTTTAAATTCCATTAATTTTTTCAGCAGACCCTTCATATACATCTCCGGGTTTTTATTAGGGCAGTATATATTGGCTAAAGTACACTCAATCCCCTGGAGTCTACCTTTTAAGAATAAAAACCTCCCCCCCGGGTCGGTTCTTCTATCCTCCAGCTCAAATCTCATATTCTTTGCCCAACCTATTGCAACCCCTTTTGCTCTTTTAATTGGAGAATCTGCATAGTACCATGTTGGGTAGTGTTTGGATTTCAATTTCAGTTTGCCTCTATCTCAAAATGCGTCTCCTATAGAAATTACCACTGACGT